GGCCACGCACACCCCCCCACTCCCACCAATCCGGGGAAAAAAAGTGAAAATCCCTCTCAAAAAAAAAAAAAAAAAAAAAAAAAAAAGAAAATGATTATTGGAATTCAGAAAGCCTTGCATGATCAAATCGACCTTATCATAAGTCTTGCAGTATTCTAAGTCTATTCTGTTGTTTTTGAGAAATAGGGAAGAGATTTTTTTATATAAATAAGCAATCTAGTCAAGTTAAACACACAGTGTTCTAATTCACCATAGTTTTCCTCCTTGCTATTTCCAAATCCCTTGTGCCTCTTGTAGATCTTGGAGTATGGCTGAGGAAAATTTACAAGTTGAAAACCCATTCTTCTCCTTTCCACTTTCTTTTTTGACCCCATCTCACCCCATTTGGAAAAATTTATTATTTTCATTTTATGGGAAATTTGGGTTTGGTATGGGGAACTATTTCATTATTTTGATTGTATTTAAATACACAAATTTTATTCTAAAGGGTATATTTAGCACCTATAGTAAATATCATATAAATATTAATAAATGGTCCAAAAGATAACATTTTGGTTTAGGCTTACAGAGCATCTGAGACAGATCTGCTTTATATTTTTCTTCTCCTTTGTCCTTTGCCTGTTACCATATAAATGGGGATACTGAGCTTTGTTATGGGTGAAATGTCAGGCACTTTAGCATTTTCTTCTAAAATGGTGATTTTTCATGTAGACACTATCATAATCATCATGTATGGTGCTTTATCTTAAAAATATTTCATGGCTGGGCCGGGCGCGGTGGCTCAAGCCTGTAATCCCAGCACTGTGGGAGGCCGAGGCGGGTGGATCACGAGGTCAAGAGATCGAGACCATCCTGGTCAACATGGTGAAACCCCGTCTCTACTAAAAATACAAAAAATTAGCTGGGCATGGTGGCACGTGCCTGTAATCCCAGCTACTCAGGAGGCTGAGGCAGGAGAATTGCCTGAACCCAGGAGGCGGAGGTTGTGGTGAGCCGAGATGGCGCCATTGCACTCCAGCCTGGGTAACAAGAGCGAAACTCCGTCTCAAAAAAAATATATATATATATATATTTCATGGCTCTTTTTTTTCTGTTGTGTTACAATTATGCTTGTGTATTCCACAGAAAGTATTAATATTTAAGTAAATTTGAATATCACATGGAATAATAACAAATCTTAGTGTTTAGGGGCTGGCTATTCCTAGCCTAGTTTTGCCATTAAAAGACTGAATATCTTCGGCCAAATCAGGGTAAACTTTAAAAGGAGGTAGAACTTTGGTCAAATCTTTAGAATGTCATCAAGTTTATATTAAAATAATCTCTTTGGAAGAAATATTTCAGATTTATGTGAAATACCAAATAAAATAGATTATCTTAGAGGTAAGCAGTAGTATTAAAAATTTGAACCTAAAGTTTTTAGAATTCTGCTTTTTCTTTTTGTTAGCTGTGTTCCATTGAAGTGACTTGTGAATCAGCCAGTGTGATGGCTGCAACACTGGCTAATGGTGGTTTCTGCCCAATTACTGGTGAAAGAGTACTGAGCCCTGAAGCAGTTCGAAATACATTGAGTTTGATGCATTCCTGTGGCATGTATGACTTCTCAGGGCAGTTTGCTTTCCATGTAAGTAATTGTTTAATGTTAATTTTCTCTGGCAAGAAACTAGTGTGAACTGGTTCCTTTAAAAGTGCAGTTTGAACTTTGCTTCTAAAGCTGTATATTAATTTTTGAGAGAGAGGATTGTTTTCAAGGTTAATTTGTTACAAGGTTAGTAAGGAATAAGAGCTAAAGTCTACCAAATGTTTTTAAGAACTTGAAAGTTTAATTTATAGAACCTCATCACTTCTGCTTTTAAGGCATTCCAGTGTACAAGGTTAGTATAGTCTTTCTTTACTTTTAGTTGTTAATGTCTAGCATTATGATGAGTATGTATCTTAAGAATGCTTTAAGTTTAGAAAGATTGCAAAGATGTGATGTTTCACATCTTTGATTACAGCCATAGATTTTTTTTTTCTTTCTATTTTTTGAGACGGAGTCTCGCTCTGTAGCCCAGGCTGGAGTGCAGTGGCGCAATCTCAGCTCACTGCAACCTCCCCTTCCCAGGTCCTGGTTCAAGCAATTCTCCTGCCTCAGTCTCCTGAGTAGCTGGGATTACAGGCAATCACCACCGTGCCCAGCTAATTTTTGTATTTTTAGTAGAGGTGGGGTTTCACCATGTTGGCCAGGCTTGTCTTGAACTCCTGACCTCATGATCCTCCTACCACAGCCTCCCAAAGTGCTGGGATTACAGGCCTGAGCCATAGATGTCTTAAGGACTAAAAGTATATTAAAGGTAAAACTTAACAAAAATGTACTGCTTTAAGCTCTGTTGTGCATTTGCCACTTGTAAAGTATATAGACTTCTCTTATTTAATTCTGCTCATGTCAAGTCATAATACCCTTCTAAAAGTTTTTTTTTTTCTTTAAATTTTGGAAATTTTCAAACGTAAAACAAGAGAGAAAGAGAGAGAGACAGATACATTGAATGTTATCCATCACTCGGCTTCAATAACTGGAAACATTACCAATCTTGTTTCATCTGAATGTGCATGTTTCCCCTATTCTTGTCATAGTTCAGTATGTAATTCTAAATAAGGACCCTTAACAAAACATAATACCATCTTTACATATAAAAAAAACTTAAATATTACATATCAAAACTTTAATATTAACATCACCATTAAATTTAATATCATCAAAATATTTAGTCTGTTCAGATGTCCTGGATTATCTTGTAAATTATTATATTATTTTATAATTTGTTTGACTTGGGATACAAATGAGCATACATTGTGATTGGGTTGTGTCTCCCTTTTTTATTTTAATCTGTTGGTCTTCTTTTGACCTGTTTCTTTTTTTTTTTTTATTTTTGGTTGAAAAAACTGGGTCATTTAGTCTATACAGTTTTCCACGGTCTGTATGTTGCTGATTACCTTTGTTCCAGTCTCTTGTATTTCCTATAAATTTGAAGATCCAATTCAGGTGTTTTTTGTCTGCTTGTTTTGTTTAGTTTTATTAAGAGTACTTTATTGGCATATTTCTATCCAGGGGTGCTTACTGACTAAATGTTAATAAGCAATTAATGAACACTGCCCTAATGACATTAATTTTGTTTTTTATCATTTGTTAAGTTTTGCTAATGTAACTTAAATTTTTTGAGGAAGATTAAATTACCATTTTAGAAAATCTTTTAATAATATGTAACTTTTTATTTTCTATTTGTAAAGTACTTTTTAAAAATAATTGGTTATATTTTAAAACAATATGTTTATTTTAGAACAATTAGAAAATATAATCAGGAAGAGTAAAAGCATCCATAGCCCCACAATTTAGATGTAACTGCTATGATTCCTTAGAGTGTATCTTTAAACAATTTTTCTATATTCAAATCTATTCCAAACTGTTTTATAACTTTTTTTTTAATTGAGATGAGTCTCACTCTGTTGCCCAGCCTGGAGTGCAGTAGTGTGATTTTGGCTCACTGCAACCTCTACCTCCTGGGTTCAGGTGATTCTCCTGCCTCAGCCTTCCAAGTAGCTGGGATTACAGGCACCTGCCGCCACACTTGGCTAATTTTTGTATTTTTTGTGGAGACGGGGTTTCGCCATGTTAACCAGGGTGATCTCAAACTCCTGACCTTGGGTGATCTGCCCACCTCTGCCTTCCAGAGTACTGGGATTACAGGTGTGCACCATCAGGCCCAGCCTTAGAACTTTATTTATAAATATGTTGATAAAAATGTATCTATATTTCTAATGTCTACTGTATGGATATATATTATAATTTTAAATTTTTAAACCAATTTCCCAGTTTGTTTTTTGTTTTGTTTTTTGAGACAGGATCTTACTCTGTCACCCAGGCTGGAGTGTAGTGGTGCAGTCATGGCTCACTGTAGCCTTGACCTCCTGAGGTTATGTGATCCTCCCACTTCAGCCTCCAGAGTAGCTGTGACTACTGGTGTGCACCTCCATGTCAGGTTATTTTTTGTATTTTTGTAGAGATGAGATCTCCCTGTGTTACCCGACCTAGTCTCCAACTCCTGGAGTTGGAATTGTGATCTGCCTGCCTTAGCCTCCCAAAGTGCTGAGATTACAGGAGTGAGCCATGATACTCAGCCCCAATTTCCTTGTTGTTGAACATAACATTTCTTATTTTAAGATGTTTACCTGAATACTTATTTTACTGAATTATTTTTAGGTCGGTCTTCCTGCAAAATCTGGAGTTGCTGGGGGCATTCTTTTAGTTGTCCCCAATGTTATGGGTATGATGTGCTGGTCTCCTCCTCTGGATAAGATGGGCAACAGTGTTAAGGGAATTCACTTTTGTCACGTAAGCATATTTTCTTAGTGAAAATAATGATATAAGTTGAACCATCCACTGATTCTTTTTTTAACCCATTTTCCGCAGTTCATTAACTCGTGGCCCTCTGCCTACATATAGAGTGCCAGTTACTAGGTAGCCATGGAAATACAGAGGAGCTTCAAGTTGCCTCTGTCAGACAGCTACCATTTAATTATTCCTACAGAAAATTATATTTGTTTGATGCTAATATTTTAATTTTCCTGGTTATAATTAGTATCAATTTTTAAAAGCTCAACAAAAGACGTTAAACTCAGAGAAGTTATTTAAAAGACAATGTATCTTAGGAGTTGTTTTGTTTTATTGTGTGTTTAATCTGCATGGTTGAATATCTTTATCCCTTTATCCATTGACTACCTTTAAGTATTTTTTTTGAGGAAATAAGCACTGAAAATTTTTTTAAAATTAAAAATTTTTTGAAGTGTTACTGCTCTTTATAGTTCTATATTTTGTTGTTACCCAGTTCCTGCTAATGTTTGAGCTTCTGGCCAGAGTTCATATTAAATACCATACTCAATTAAAATTGTTTTATTTTCCAGTCTTTTACAAAAACTAGAGTATGACATTGGATTATATATAAAGTATAACAGATTGTACCAGAGCACTTATTTATATTTTAATGATGCTTTACACTTATTTGATAGACGTTCATGTGGTTGGCTATAACCCCTATTTTGTAGAAGATGAAAGCTAGACAATTTGATTGTCTGAGCCCTAGGATCATGTTAGTAAATAATGTTCTTAAAGCTTGTATCCATATCTTACTCTGATTTTAGTTATCTTCTTGATGCATTATATTGCTTTATTAGCATGCAGTGATGATTTCTAAGCTGGATGATATAAGCATAGTTTGTTAAAATATGAATATACATAACCAATGAATAGCCAGTTGCTTATACCTGTTCTGTGTAACTGTTTACAGGACCTTGTTTCTCTGTGTAATTTCCATAACTATGATAATTTGAGACACTTTGCAAAAAAACTTGATCCTCGAAGAGAAGGTGGTGATCAAAGGGTAAGCAAAATTTTTATTTAGATAATTAAGTAAAATTTTTAAGAGAGAAAAAGTGAGATTTGCTTGTATAAGTGAAATCTTAGTTTGTTAGTGACTTCAGGTCTTTGCTAATCACAAATGAGTGAAATCAAATTGTGACATTTTAATCCAGTATTTAATCACCAGTATTAAATACTTAAATATTGCTTAATAAATACTTAATAGATATAGATACTTAAATATTGCTGTTTCATTATTTAAATCGAAACTGGTTAGCCTAGTGTCAGAGTTTTCCCCTCTTGTTTCCACTATCTTAAGCAAGATTTTTAAAATTGATTCTGCTAAAAAAAAAAAAAAAAAAAAAAAGACATTGGAACATGCTATAAATCTAATTTAAAAGTTTAAAAGAAAGCATTGCTTTACTTTTAGTATTTGTCAGAGTCCTAAATTGAAGTTCATTTTAACTTCTTGCTTACTGTGTAGATGGATATATAAAAGGATTATCATATTAGTGAGAGACCATGTGAAGCCTCATAATAAGTTTTATAAGCCACTGAGATGAAATTTTTTTTCCAGAGTGTTTAATGCAATATTCCTAATAACCTTACAGTCCTATTTTGTTGCCAGTGTATTTGGCTTCATACTGTTCTACAGATATATTACTTTTTTAGAAGAATTACTAAGAGACAGGACTTAACTTTTTTGGTCTATATAGTTTTTCACTGTACCGAGGGAATTGTGTTGAGAATTTTGATTCAGTTTCTTTTTGTACCATATTGAAAATGTTTGTAGCAAAATTACCTAATTAGGCTTCAAGCTAATATGAAGCACTTGTAAATAGAAAATATTTTTAATACCTCTTAAGTACCTGAGTAACATGGAGCAAAATGTCAGAGGTGGTGGTTTAAAATGTTAACAGATTTTAATAATGTTCATTGAAAAATACCATTTTATAGCTTGGACCTTTCTTCACTCAAGTGCACTAATAAATTATGTATGTTGCTTGAACAACTAGCATTCCTTTGGACCATTGGACTATGAAAGTCTCCAACAAGAACTTGCTTTAAAAGAGACAGTATGGAAAAAAGTGTCACCTGAGTCAAATGAGGACATCTCTACAACTGTAGTATATAGAATGGAAAGTCTGGGAGAGAAAAGCTAAAGAAATGGGTTCTAGTTTCAGAATGTTTCTTCATTCAATCTTTCAAACATCTTTAGCTTTTTTTTTGCAAATTATAAATATTTATTTGAGATATTTTTTTGTTCTCAACCTTCGGTGCTGGAGCCATAAAGCTTTTTTTCCTTTTAATCTTTGTATAAAGATAATACATTAAAAAGTGAATTTGTTGGTCTTTAAAAAAGTATTTACAACTAAATAAATTTGCTTTAATTTTAAAAATACAAAAAGGAAAAATTCTCTTAAATTTTTCTTGATGTAATTAAAACTTTAACTATGTAGTTAGATAATCCCATTTTACAATGGTAACAGAAAATTGTAATTCTTAGTTCTAAAATTCACACATTAAACTCATAAGTTTTGTTGCATTTTGTTTTTTCTTTTCCATTTTTGAAACTGACATGATGTCTATAGTGGCAATAGAAAGTACTTCTATGCTAAATGCAAAACTAAAAAGACAAAATAACCCCAATTACTTTATTTAAAATAGCAGTGGATTATAAAATTAGCTTACATTTACAATTATGCCACTTTTAGTGATAGATTGGCTTTACATTTTTAAAAATTTATTTAAAATTTTATCAAATGTTTTAAAATATGTCTCCTACCTTTTCTATTTTGCAACTGCTCTGTTTCTGTCAGAATTGTTATATACAGGAATGTCTTATGTTACTAAAACATTCCAACCAAAGAATTTCAGATGTGAGATAATGATGTTTCATTGATAAAAAGCTATAATGGTTAGTTACTCAGAAGGAGAAACAGTGAGTGTCTTCAAGTGAATTGTTCACCTTAACAATTTTATTTTCATATTATCCACATAACTTTTTCTGTTATATTTAAATATGAATGGCAAATTATGTTTTTTAGCTTTTAAAATTTTATTATCCTAATAATTTTATAATTGCTAATATTTCTTTTGTGATAAATTATAGCATCTCATGAAGTTTATTCTATTTGAACTCTTAGAGTACTGGGAAATGAATTTAGTCTGCAGGTAGTAAGTATGCTACTAAAATATGTTAGATCTGAATCCTTTTGTTTGGTAATAAAAATGCAATATTGAGAATCAAAACTTGTTTTTAAGAGAACTAAGGATTTATTCAACCTGATTTCAAATAATTATTCATGGTGTTTAAAGTTGTCTTGGCAAAGTGATTGTAAAATTCTGTAGGACCTATTCACACTTCTTCCTTCTTCCATAGGGGACTGCCTCTCTGGTTTTCCCCACAGCTCCCCTACAGTTTCAAGTTTGTTGAAACCTGTTTATTTTTTTCAATTCCTTTTTAAACTTTTTTTGTGGGGGATTAGAAGAAAAACTTGGTGGTTTCTTAGCATGATGGTATATATATGTGGTAATGGAAAGTCTGTAAAAGTGAATATAGTGTAGCAAAAAAGATTTCACTGAGTATTTTAGATACTAGTGCAAATATAGAAAATCTTGATCATAAGGTCTTGAATTTGGGAACTATGACATTAAGAAAAGAAGTTCCCTCCCAGAGGTGCTGGCCAAAAGCCTTTTGGGCTAACTTAAGTATTAAATTTATATATTTAAATAATTATATTATTAGTTGTAGAGGATTTTCCTGAAGGTTTTATGCTTACTTGAATGTTCTTTGAATGTTCATATGCATATCCTAACTGGATGCTTCTCAAGGCCTTACTGCATTTTTGTGTTGTATATTTGTGTTGGTTGCACCAGGGTCATTTGTAGTTTAGGCAATCGAATGCCTTAATTGGAAAAAAGGCATTATGGTTTCCCCTATGTTCTGAATTGTTACATTTTACCATTCTGTTCAGAAGTTGGTTTTACTTTATAAAATGAAGATTTAGTTTTCATATCATGTACATATTTGTATAGATTTCAAAATTAGGTTAATTTGTGGCACTTATTCTTATTGTGTTGGTAATGCTTAAATTTATACTTAAAAATGAAGTGCTGTTATCTAAGCTACTGTGTCTAGAAAATGTTAAGAATGAGCATCCAGAAATTTTTATAGAAAATTACAAATGGAAGAAGAGATAAGATATTGTGAATAGGCCCTCACACTTAAAAAAGAAAAAAACTTTGCCAGTTTTAAGGACATATTTTGATTCTTTCAGTATTCTTAACACCTAAAACAAAGTTCTTAAAAGTACCCAGTATTATTGGGTTTAATGTTTTATGCCATTATTGATTCTTGATATTCAAGCATTTACAATATAGCATATTTGATTTTCTTTTTTCTTATTTTTTATTTTTTGGCATCATTAACATTTCATTTGAAATGCATATTATTCCTGAAGTACTTTGTTTTTAGCATAAATGTTGTGCATTTTATCTTAGTGTTTGGATTAAAACATTTGTGTTGTTTAGCTTTCTTTCATTTGCTTTGTATATTTAATAATGTACCTTTATTTTCCAGTATGCCTGCATTTTGTATTGTACAATAAATTTATTTTAAGCTGATTTTATTGTTTTTTTTTTTTTTTTTTTTTTTTTTGGTTTTGTTTTATAAAAGCAACTTCTACATTTTAAGTACAAAAACAGTTGGGATTTTAACTTAGAAAAAATTATCCTTTATGAAGATAATATTAAGGTGTTTGCTATTCTGAAGCTGTCTCAAAGTAAACTAGAAATACTCAAAAGGGCTTTATTTGATATTTTTTTTTAATGCAATGTAGCATTAGTGGTTTTTGTGGGAGGAGGACTTTTCCTATTGGTTATACTAGAAGTATTTGAATGAAAACTTTCCCTCAATTTTTTTGGTTGTTTTTCCAACTTAAAAATCATGCAACCCTATTTGTAGGTTATTTCTACTTTCTGAGGAGGAATATTGTTATTCACCATGTAACTCTCATTTTTTTCTGTTGTTGCCTAAAGAATAGGAAAAACATTGCTAAACCAATGAAGAGTATCATAATATTGATTTAGAATAAAACTGTTAATCATAGAATTTATATTAAACAAGAATGACAGTGATACAGAAATTCACCTTAACTGCTTTCTGAGGGCATTACATTTTGAGAAGGAATTTTGTATGTTTCCACGTCATGGTCCAGATTATAGTACAAATTATAGAGACTCCATGTATTGTAAGTCAAATATAGTATTTAAATTTTTCTGTTTAATTAAATCTGCCATTCATATTCTGGAGATTTCCTGAATATATTGTAGAAGTTTTAAAATTATTTAAAAGGAGAAATACTGTTGTTTATATTACTTTGTATTAATCTATGGGATTTTTAAATGAATTTCTTTCAGAATTAGTTAATAAGGAGTTTTAGTATAATGACATATTCAGTAGATGTAACAGTTTGTGATCAGTTCCTTTTAAAGATTTTTTTTAAATTTCATATGAAGCAAAGAGAGAGGAGACTTAAAATGCCTGGTGATCTTGATCTGACAGTGTATATTTATTTAATAGGCTATATTTATGTGGAAAGAACTGCTGAAATATACTGATATGTCAGCTTATACCCTGATAACTTATATATAATACATTCCATATGAATGTTTATGTACACACATGTATATCATTTTCTTATCTATGTATCTTAATCTACCCATTCATATTCTGAAAATGAGCAGTTATTTTCACATTGTGTATTATGTATAAATTATTCATTGATCTATTCCTATTCCAAGTTTTGACACAAAAGAACTCCTGAAATTTTTGCTTCCCTAGAATTTGAAAAGAATAACATACTTCTTCAGTTTGACTTTAAAGATTTGTGGTTTCTGTTACCACTCCCATTCACCACCAGCACTGCCAGGGTAAGAGAGTAACTAACAGTATTGGGGGAACTCTAGAAAAGTGAAACCAAGAATATTAGGTTTCATGTGGAATTTGACTTTAAAGCGCTTTCCAAAATTTATTATAAAGAAGGATTATATTTTTAAAATTGTATTTGACTTAAAAGAAGTAATGCACTTCTCATATTGAGCAGTTTACAGAATAGTTTTATTTAGTTCACTGTGTACAATTTACTATTCATTTGTAAAAATTTTGGTTTATCTCCTAGATGGGCTTGAAAATGCTAGAAAGGACTTTTTAAAGATATAAGATCAGTGTACTTAACGTGTGATTTCTTCTCTATTCCTTCTTTACCATTTTATATTAAATATTATATTTGCATTTGGTAATAAAACCAAAACCAGATTTGGAGATGTAGCATAAATGGAAAATTCTTACCATGTATCATACACTGAAACTTTCACATAGATTTATTAAGAATGGACTTTACCTTCATCAGTCTTTTCTCTGACATGTAGTTCAAGGGCAGAATTATGTATGAACGTACACTCGAGTATATCCAAGTTCAACTATTTTTCTTTTTTTCAAATTGTAACTAAGTTAAAACCTTTGTTTTCTTCATTGCTTAGAAATGGAAGGAATTTAATTGGAAATGGAAGGAATTTAATTGGGTAGTGGGAAGTTCTTTTATGTCACACCCCAAACTCCAGCCAGTAGTTTATTAATCTGAATATCATAAAATGCATATGACTTTGAGAAATTTAGAAAACTACTATAAGAATGTCTGAGGCAAAATTTATCCAACATGAAACAGAGTGGGGAAAACATGGTGTTTCTTAGAGTTGTTAACTTTTTAAATAGTAATAGAAAAAGTACATTTAAAAAAATACTATGTTAAGTAGACTGATCATAAATACTTGTTTAACAAAGTGATTCTGTTACTGTGGTCTTAAAATATTTTCTATTTCTATTTTGTGAACATAGGAAAGGAAGATAATTTAAGTTGACTTTGTTTACCATTTCCATTTTATAGACTGTACGTCTACTTTAGTAAATTTTGTAAATTGTAGCTAATAGAGGTTTTTTATAATGGCTTCCTGATCCATTAATCTTTAATCAAAATGAATAGGATACTAATTAGCACTTGCATTGCATTATTTTTTTGGCGGAATCTGTGTTTTTTTTGTAAATTTCATTCAACAATAAATTACAAAAAACTTATTGAAAACCATCATGTATTGGTTAAAAAAAAAGTTATGATCTTGGCCTCAAAAGACAAGTATTGGAACAGGCAAGCTGGTGCCAACTGCTTCTGTCAGTTAATTTCTAACATTGTTACTATACTTTTAACTCCAAATCCCATTTACCAATTACGAAATTTTTTTAGAAAAATTATCGACCACATCTCAATGGCAAAGAACAATTTATTGTATTTTTTAAGCCATATTTCAATATGTGGGGATGTGATTTTTTTATACATAGTATGATGAAAAATAATGGTTTTTTTTAATTAGGTATTTACCTTGCTGAAATACTTTCAATCCTTAAAACCACAGATGATTAAAATTATCTATTGGAAGGCTTAGCTTTTGAAAGAAAAAATTCTTGCCTATGGCCATCGCACCCGATCTCCTCTGAAAGAAAACATTCTTACCTGAAATAGTTTTAAAATTTCTGTTGTCATACTACATTTCTGGTGATTTTTGTTTATATAATGAAAATCTCTTCTGCCCATATTTGGAATCCTGAGCTATAATTAAATTTATATTTTGTAAACAGCTGAAGTCTTTCTTTTATTTTTATTTATTTTATTTTATTTTTTTTTTGAGACGGAGTTTCACTCATGCTACCCAGGCTGGAGTGCAATGGCGCGATCTCGGCTCACCGCAACCTCCGCCTCCTGGGTTCAGGCAATTCTCCTGCCTCAGCCTCCTGAGTAGCTGGGTTTACAGGCACGCACCACCATGCCCAGCTAATTTTTTGTATTTTTAGTAGAGACGGGGTTTCACCATGTTGAACAGGATGGTCTCGATCTCTTGACCTCGTGATCCACCCGCCTCGGCCTCCCACAGTGCTGGGATTACAGGCTTGAGCCACCGCGCCCGGCCTCTTTTATTTTTAAAACATAGTTCAACCTTCCTAGATTTTTGATGTACTTTTATTTACCATAATCTTATGTATTTTTTAGAATCACAGATTTGAATTTGAAAGTAATCTTAAAGGCTGTCTGGTACAGACTCACTCCATTCAGCCCCTTTTCCGGGTTTCCTAGCCCTTTGCTTTCTCTATTAGCATATTTAGATTATTTTTCTCTTTTGATGGGGTTGGTCTGTTGTGTGTTTTGCTCGGATGGACTTTCTGTCTGTGGTTATTTTTAACGAGAGAAGCATAATTGGTAGTAGTTAATGTGACTATAAGTTATTTAGCAGATGATACCATCAGCATTTATTAAAACTAATTGTATTTTTCTAGTAAGCAGTCTTATGTCCCAGTTATTTAAAAACTAGTAAAGTTAGAAGTGAATGTTTAAATTATATAGTAGTTCTAAAAATAAAACATTACCCTGCAACCTTTGAAAGAAAGTGTAGCAGAAATGTAACTCTAAAAATAAATGTTACACCACTGGCTTTTTAAAATAAATTCCTTTGAGGTTAGATTAAATATATAAGTAAAAACATTTTAAATAAATAAAAAACTATTCAAGTTCCAAACAAATTGTTTCTTAAGAAAAAGTTTCTTTGCATGTTTGCTTTTCCAAAACACATGCAAAATATCTAGCTACTTCCCTTGTTTATCTTAGACATTTGGATCTGTGAGTGGGCCCCAAACAAGGTTCCTAAGTTGTCTATTTATTTACTCTGTCTATAGTACATATGGTCTTCAGTGTCAATCTCCATTTCATCTTTCTGGAGTTTTAATATTTATGAAAGACAATGTATATTGAGTTCTTAAAATAAGTTGATTTTTTAAAAGACTTTGTTGACTTACAAAATGTTAAAACTTAAATATTGTTGCTCTCAAGATATTATAATATTGGTTTCTTAATTTTGAAAATTTAAACTGCCTGAGTAGCTCTTTTCCCCACAGTTTCAATATAAACCCATTCAATATAAAGTCTGCTTGCTTTCATATTATGTATTCCAAAATAAAAATGATGATTAAATATTAGTGTCAATTATGCAAATACAACTACTCAGATTTGAACCACTTCATTGTAAAATTCAAATTTTAATTATGATAGTCTGTTGAACTTTTTTTAGATCTAGATTAGAGTTATACTTTTCATTATTTTATACGTGCATTTTGCAAATCATCACAAAGGGGCAATTTACAAAGATTCTTTTGAGGAGACAGCTTAAAACTTAATCCTTAAGGCTTGACTTTCTTCTATTAAATAAGATTAATGATATTAAAACCGTGGTATAAATTATTAATTGAATTCCACCCAAGTTCTATTGTTTTGTTCATTCTCACAGTCATTCCAAATTAAATTTTAGTTGAAAAACTTAGCATATTATCTAAATTTCAACTATTCTATTTTTTATCCTTTCATATCATAATTTATTTTGGGCCAAAATCAGGTAATTTAAAAAATTATATCAAAGTTACTCAGGAAATGTGTTTCCAATTCTGCATCTTTATATTGCTTGCTATGTTCATTTCCAAATCTTTTGATGTTGACATTTGCCACTGTAGTTTTATTTTCTTTAAAAAAAAAAGTTAAAAAGAAAATCACACATGAAATGTAAAAGTCCAAACTTTTCTTCTTCGGTATAATATAGCTTATTTTTTATTTATTATTTTACATAGATCCTTGAAGTATATGCATCTTTGATCCAGGCCTATGCACAAGATTTATAATGTAAATAAAGAATGAACCAAATAATACTGTTTAAGTATTTGAATTGAGATGAATAAATGTTGCATCTTCTGCACAATGAAACTTCATTGACATCTGATGAAATTACAGGACAAGTGATTTTGTTAACATTCCATGGTGATGAATACTATTAATCCTCTTTAATACTACCAATAAAATATTTCTGCCTTAATGTCTCTTTTTACTGGACAATGAAGAAACAATTCAGCTGTTAAAGGATAACCAAAAAAATAACTTCCACCTATCTGAACGCCCTTATTCTGGCAAGTTAGCAGTTTTATTGTAAACATACCCGCTTTACATTTAATTAAGTTGATCTACTTTTCTTCTAGAATTGCTTTTGTATTAAGTGTAAAATTGTAACCAGATAACTCATTCCTTCTATGAAGTTGCTTTCCCATTTGTGTGACTAAGAAAGTGGCTAAGTCCAGGACTCTTCTGGCTTCCTGGTTTCCAGGTTTTCATCTCAATATTTTCAGTCCTTGTTTTACTTAGTAAACTTTTTTTTTTAATACCTTCTATATAGCAGGAATTTTGTTCTCCTCTTGTGTTATTTTCTTCTCTTCATTTCTGGTACCAACCAGTGTCCAATATTAAATCCCACTATACAACCTTTAAAATTCTTTTCTTTAGCTCTTTTTCTCTACCAAGTAAGAACCAAAAAGAACATTTCACTAGTTTTTGTTCAAACAGCACACAAACAGAATTAGTTCAAGATATTTAGCTAGTTAAATTTGATCGAGCAGTTCAGTTCTATATAAATTAACCTTAGCATTATTCCTGTGCTTTATTATTCACTGATAGGTTCTTATTCAACTAATGTTTATTTCTTGCCTAATATGTGACAGAAACTGTGAAACATTCAGGATATGCAGTGGTTAATGAGACAAGTATGAACCAACTCGTGTTTGCAATTAAAAGGGGATATAAATACTGAATAAATACTAAAAATTAAAATGGTAATAAGTGATTTGTTAATACTGATGCATGTAGATCTAATTCATTTTAAATGTTATAAAATGAGTTGCAAAATGGTATATGCCATATGCTGCCATTTTTGTACATCTATAACACGTTATGAGACACAAATATACAATGTAGTTACTAATAAAACTTTAAGAACATGAACACCAGTCTTTAGATAAAGCTTACTGCTGGGAGGGAAGGGAATAGTTGCAGAGAGCATGGTTAGCCATATCTTTAATGTTTCATTTCTTTAAAAAATATTTAAGCAAATATAAGGATAATAAATGGTAGAAAAGTAAAGAATGCCAGGAGAGGGTACAATGAGAAGATCTTGTTTTGTCCGGGTGGTTAAATATGGTTGGTTTTCACTGGAAGGTAATTCAGTATGTAAGTTTTGAAGGAGTCGGAGTATGGAATAGGGTTGATAGGCTAATCTGACTTGAAGGCTTCAGAACAGAAAGGAGTTCAGCACATTTGAGAAGAGGAAAGGTGGCAAATCTGCTGAAAGAAGAGTGAGGTGAGGTGGATGGAGATTGGCCACGGATGACTCTTACAGATGGGACCATATTAGGTAGAGTGGGCTTTCTCATATTTCAGTGTACATCAGAATTGCTAGTGTCTTAACTTTAAAATGCAGCTAACTTCCTGGGGCCCAGTCCTGCAGTTTGATTCAAAAATCCAAATTTTCAATGTACACCCCAGGTGCTTCTGCTATAGGTTGTCCTCAGGATGCAGTTTGGGAGACATTTGTGAAAGATCTTTTATACCATGGTAAGAATTTTGGACTTTATTAAAAGTTCAGTGTGAAACTTTGAAGGCTTTTAAAAAGGTAAGAGAATGATTTGATTTTTAAATACTGCTCTGTGGAGAATAGAGAGAGACAAAGTTGAGGCTGTGGACTCGAGATGTGTGGTGGCTTGGACTAGAAAAGTAGGTGGATAAAAGATGTGTTTAAGAGAAAGGATTGGTGGCACTTGGTGATAGTTTTTGGTGGGTGAAAAAGAATGAGAGATCTTATTGATTATGAGGTTTTTAGTATAAGCAACAGGGCCAAAGCTGCTGCATAAACTAAGATGGAGAACACTAAAAAAGTAAACATTGGGAGTATGGGAAGAAATTAGTTTAATTTTGGCTACTGTAACAAGGATCTGTTTGCTTGTGGTGTCAGGAGATTTATTAACAGTGCTTTGAACACATGAGCGTCATTTTTCTAATATAACAAGAAGTCTCAGGGAAAA